ATCACTCAGTCCACAGCTACCTCCTGAATATTCTACACAACAGTCAGATTTAGGCTGTAGTGATCAAGTACTTGGTTCCTGCCCTCACTGCCCTCATGGTCTAGCCTCAGTTTACTCATTTTTAAAATGGAAGTAAGTGAGAATAGCTGACATGAAGTGTCCACATGTGCCAAGCACCATGCTGCAGTGCTGCAGGCTGAGCCTCCATGTACTCCATGAGCTGCACCATGTGGTGCTGGGGCCTGAAGGCACCACATAATGCCTGCTACAGTCAGCTGTGCAGACAGGCTCAGGGCCTTCTCTAGGTCTGGTTCCCACTTTTTCCCTTTATTCCTTTCCTCCCCTGCACCCTCACTGAGACCCAGCCCATGCCTGTCATGGTGTCCCTCAGTGCACCACATACACCCACACCCTCATCCTGCGTTCAGGTTCCCCTGCCTGGCAGGTCCTCCAGCCCCACCTGGAAGGCTCTTGCTCATTCCTTAAGTTGCTCAAGTGGCACTGCTTGGGGACCCTCCATAGTTCACACTGAGTACTCCGAGCCCCTGCAGCTGCATAGGGCCTGCCTCGTCGTGCTGGGCTCTGCAGCCACCTGTCTACCTTGTACAATGGCAAGCGAAAGAGACCAAGTGGTATGTCTTTTCTCCAAATCCCCAGCCTGGGCACATCAAGGAAACATCAACTCCTACTTCCGGAGTCCATGTGTTAAGCATTTTATGCTCTTTGTCTCATAGAATTTAACTTCCACAACCTCTACAAGGGAAGGCTTGTTATCTCCACATTATGTATGGAAAAACTGAGGCATAGGGTGGGAATAACTGGCCCAAAGTCATGCCCAGGATTACTGGCTTCAAAGGCAGTAAATGTGTGCTGAAATATATTTGTTTGAAGCAAGATGTGCCTAGTCCTACAAGCCACAAAAAGAGATGGTCTTCAGTTTCCTCTCAGTAGCCCCCAGACTCAAGTCCACACTTCACTCCCAGGGAGTTCCAGCCTGAAGAAGATGCAGCGTGTGTGCATATGAGCTTAAAACAATTAGAAGATGCTCCTTCTTTTCTTTCAACAAATATTTGTGCCTCTACAAATATCTCCATGCTAGGTGTCAAGTGGATTGGGAGTGGGGAGGAGAAGGGAAGGAACAAAAGTGGAAATCAGGGCCATGATTTTGTGATCTAATAAGAAATGTACATTTTGTTTCATCCCTGGTTCCTGGCACAGAGCTCCTAAAACATTTGTAATTTCCTGAGTGACAGGGATGCTAGAAGCATTCTTTGTTCTAAATTTGCTCTTTGACCCCGGTTCCTGACACAGAGTTCCTAAACCTCTTGGAATTTCCTGGGTGCTGGAGCATCTTTTGTTCTAATGAGGCAACTCCTAGTGGGCTACTACTGGACAGCTTCTGGATGGGGGCTGGTCATCAGAAATGCCAAGCCATGGTTAGAAGCTCAGAGCTTTTATCGCCCTCCCTGAAACCTCTGCCATCCTCCAGGAAGGTCAGAGGAGCTAGAGATTGAGTTAATAACGGATCATGCCTATGTGATGGAACCTCTATAAAAATCCCTAAAATAGTTCGAGAACAGCCTGACCAACATGGTAAAACCCCATCTCTACTAAAAGTACAAAAATTAGCTGGGCATGGTGGCACATGCCTTAATCCCAGCTACTCAGGAGGCTAAAGCAGGAGAATTGCTTTAACCTAGGAGGCGGAGACTGCAGCGAACCGAGATTGCACCATTGCACTCCAGCCTGGGCAACACAGAGAGACTCCATCTCCAAAAAAAAAAAAAAAATCCCTAAAATATGTGGTTCAGAGAGCTTCCAGGGTTATTGAACACATCCTCGTGCCAAGCAGAGCAGTGTACACCAACTCCAGAGGGACAGAAGCTCCTGTGCTCAGAACCCTTCTGGACCTCAGCCGATGTATCTCTTTATCTGGCTGTTTATCTGTATCCTTAATTATTTCCAGTAAACATTTAAGTGTTTCCCTGAGTACTGTGAGCTGTTGTAGCAAATTATTGAACCTAAGGAGAGGGTCATGGGAACTCCTGATTTATAGACAAGTTAGGCAAAAGTGTGGGTAGACCACGGTATGACTCACACCTGTAATTCCAGCACTTTGGGAGGGTGTGATGGGAGGATGACTTGAGGCCAGGAGTTTGAAACCAGCCTGGGCAACATAGTGAGATCCTCATCTCAACAAAAAATAAATTAGCCGGTGTAGTGGTATGTGCTTGTAGTCCTAGCTATTTGGGAGGCTGAGGAAGGAGGATTGCTTGAGCCCGGGAGTTCAAGGCTACAGTGAGCTGTGATTGTGCCACTACACTTCAGCTTGTGTGACAGTGAGACCCTGTTTCAATAATAATAATAACAGTGCAGGTAACCCAGAGAAGCATTATTGGTGACTAGCATCCAAAGTTGGGGGAAGACTTTTGGAACTGAGGCCTTAATCTGTGGAGTCTGCATGCACTCCAGGTAGTCGTTGTCAGAATAAATTAAATTGTAGAGCAGGTTTCCCCAGTCCCCAGGCTACGGACTGGTACCAGATTGTGGTCTGTTAGGAACCAGGCCACACAGCAAGAGGTGAGTGGTGGGAGCGAGCATGACCGCCTGAGCTCCACCTCCTGTCAGTTCAGCGGCACCATGAGATTCTCATAGAAGCGCGAACCCTATTGTGAACTGTGCACGTGAGGGATCTAGGCTGCACGCTCCTTATGAGAATCGAAAGCCTGAGGATCTGAGGCAGAACAGTTTCATCCCAAAAACATCTCCCCTACCCCGCACCCCCCACCCCCAAAACTATCCGTGGAAAAATTGTCTTCTGCGAAACCAGTCCTTGGTGCCAAAAGTGTTGGGAGGCCACTGTCGTAGAGCACCCCGTTGGTGTCCACAGAGAATTAGAGACCCGGTTGTTATGGAAAAGCCACACGTCTGGTGTCAGAAATACTGTGAGCAGAGGACACAGCATTTGCCTTCTAGGGCCCTCTGCCCCAGGTTGCTCAGGAGCTCCGGGGCACAGAGCTCTGTGAGGCAGCGTGCCCGGGCAGCTGGCATTCCAGCATGGACCGCGTCTTCTCTAACAGCATGGGGTCATTTCTGCACTGCTAGGTGGTCCTCGGCAGCACAGGTGAACATGACAGGCTGGATCACTGGAGAGCAGGCAAGGGTGGTTGTTCCGGGTGGCACTGCCAGGGCTCAGCATGGACCCAGGGGAAATATGGCCTCCCAGAATGAGCACTGAGGCCAGGACGGAAGGACGAGGGTTAGGATGACAGGGGCACAGGAGGGTCTCTGTGCAGAGGCTATGAAGGCCTGGGGTTGAGATACCCCTGGGCCTGCCTGTCTGTGAACTGTGAGAAAGGGAATGAGCCACGGGAGCCCAGAGGACCAGGAGCCTGCAGGGGGTTCTGAGCGAGCCCTCAGGCTGAGTCACCTGTCAAGGCCACAGTGTCTGGGCTCAGGGCCCCCAGCAGTGCCCCAACCCCGCACTGTGTGGGCTGCCCCTGCCTGCGGGGCCACTTCAGGTCGTACCCCCGCCTGCTGACCTAACTTTCTTACTCTACCCCCGAATCCCTGGGCTGTGTTCCCTGCTGCTCCCAGCCTGCGGATTGAAGGGACAGCCACCTCCTGGAGACACAGGTAGAAACCAGCCCCCTGGCAGGGCCCTCCTTAGCTAAGGACAGTCACATCGTGCCATTGTCTCAGCTGCCTTGGAGGACCTCAGCTCCTGGCCAGCTGCACCCTAGGCCAGCTATTATTTTATTCTCCATTCCCTTTCTTTTCCATGTGGACCCCACACAACATCGCCATAGGAAGGAAGCAGACATGCCCCACCCCCGACCATCATCAGGGACACATCTTCACTCAGCCGCCTAAAAGAAATGATCACACTGGCTTTCAGGTGGACAAACACCATGGATCGCATGGGAGAGGCCCTCAGGCTCTGCCCGCACCTCTGCCTCTTATGAAGGCTCAGCCCCTCTTCACCGTTGCCCCTCTGTGCGGTCCTTTAGCTTCATACGGATGGCAGGGAATCGGCTTTCCGGAAACTCATCCTTTCCCTTTTATTTTCTACAGCTGCCCTTGACTTGCCCTTGACCCATTCTCTACTGAGAATGGGTCTTCGTCTTCCCCTTCACGTTCAGAGGTGCTGTTTTTAAGCAAATATTCGATGAAGTTCAGCATTAAATTCAGACCAAAGACCAACAGGGGCTCCCTCTTTCCATTCTCCTCTGGGGGTGTGATCTGGAGTTCCAGTAGCTGCCACATCTGGCCTGCATTCGAATGAAGTGCACAGTTGATCCTGCAGTTCTGCCGTGCCACCGCGTCACAGGTCCACAGCCTCATGCTACATGTCCTGCCCTCAGACACCCAACTTGGGTTCACTTTGTCATGGGCTCTGGACCCTCACATGGGTGTGGACACCTGTGGAGACCTGCAGAGTCCTGCAGGGCCTCTGTTCTCACGGTCGCACATAGATCCAGCTGCTCTCAGAGTCCCCTTCAACTCCCTCAAATACAAATATTAGATTACTCACACCTTGTGCTTCTCACCGCACAATCCAGTCTGAGACTGGGGCTGGGGACACACCAGGAAGTCTCTGAATGCTCTGCCTCCTGCGTCCTGAGGGAAACCCTCAGGGTCATTTCCTGTGTTCTACCCAAGGGATTAAAACACTGGAGCAGAGCTTTGATCATCTGAACCTTCAGTGGCCCTTTCCCATACGGTCCACTACTACCTTTGCCCCACCAAGTTTCATGATGTTTATTGCGTGCCTCCATGGGCCAGGCAGGCATTTTACAAACATCTTCTCTATCAGTCCTGGCAGCATCATATGAGGGAGACACACAAGACTACGAGGCTGGTAAGGAAGGAACGCGGAGTCATGGGCAGTTGGGATTTCTATTCAACTCTGAAGTGTGTTCTCTGCCCGCCCCACAGTGCCCCCCCCAGGGTGGGTTGTATCGTGGGGACCCGCAGGAGCTGCAGGCCTTGGGGCTCACCATGCCTCCAGTGCACTCGCGGCAGTCCTGCAGGCAGCAGATGTTCTCCCAGGTGCTGTAGGCCTTCAGCGCCGCCACCAGAGCCTGCAGTGAGTGACTGTTGACCAGCTCCTTTCCCTGGAAGACATCCTTATCCACGAGGGCCCCGGCATACCTGCGGGACAAAGCAGAGACGTGTGATGGAAGTGGCGGTACACCCAGCACATGTGTGAAGGAGCATTGTCTGTGAAGTGCTATAATGCTATTTGAGGAAAGAATATGATGTCAATGATGCATATTTTAAACTGTAGATAGTCACTAAAAGATAACATTTAAGACACTACCTGCAGAATACTAAAAATTATTCAATTAGTCAATGAAACACAGGAGCAGAGGGAAAAGGGAACAAATAACATATGGGATAAATAGAGAAAAAGTTGCAGGATAATATTCTAAAACTCTATGTTTGTTGAGAGCTACATTAGGTGCAAATGGTTTAAACAGTACTATTTAATTTGGAGATTGTCAGACATGATTTTTAAAAAAATCAAGATTCAACTAGATGCTTTATACAAGAAAGTCACTCAAAATACAAAGACAAATAGGTCAAAAGAAATATAACAAAAAAATTTATACCTGCAAACACTAACCACAGGAATAGCAGAGGCTTGTGGGCATCTGTTGTAGACCTCAAGGTTAAACCTGCTTCTCCAAAGTCTACCAAAGTCTTCATGGGTCTGTCAAAACTGTCACCCTGCACCATGACTGTACCTGCAACCATGAGTCTCCACCACATCGCTGTCCCATTGGAAAACCTCTCCTTTGCTTTCTTTTCAAATTTACTTTTCTTCCAATCCATTTATAGGCCTCACTACTCACGCTGACATCTGTCTAGGCACTCCTTGACTTGCACAAAGTGGCCCCCTAGGCTCAACTCTCCTCTTATTCTGGTCTACACACATACGATCATGTTCCAAATTATTCTCTTTTATCCACACACACAAAAAAAGTTTCACATGCCTCTTGTATTTGTAACTTTTTAATTCCACTTCCCTTGGAAATTCTGTACCTTACAACAATAAAGTATACCTCAATTCCACTCCCCCATCCACTTTGCTACTGTTGAGATTTTATATATAAAGATATATATACATATTATATATATAGATACATATCTTCTGCATGTGTTATAAACCTCATGGCTATTTTTGCTTTAAACAACTTATCTTCTTCCCTAATCAACAATATTGAGAAATAATATATTACAATGATGCATTCATTCGAAGTGCACCACTTGAAGAGTTTTGACAACCGTACACACATCCATGAGAATAGCATCACAATCAAGCTACAGAACAAAATGCCTCATGTCTTTTTGCAGTCCATTCCTTTCTTTACTCCCACCCCAAGGCAACCACTGATCTGTTCTTTGACACTATAGATGAGACGTGTTTTAAGTAAACTGAATTGCAGAGTATGTGTTGTCTTGCTTCTTTCAATCAGCATGCTGTTTTGAAATTCATCCACATTACAATATGTATTTGTAGTTGTTCCGTTTTATTGCTAGTAGTACTCTAGTCTATGTAATGCACTCATCACATTCATTTATGCATTCACTTGTTGATGAACATTTTGGTTGTTTCCAGTTTGGGACTATTACTAATAAAACTGTTAGGAAAATTCATGTACAATTCTTAGAGAAAATACACGTCTTCATTTATCTTGAGAAAATATATTGAAGTGAAATGGCTCAGTCATATGGTAGATGCATTTCAAACTTTTTAAGAACGTGCCAAATAATTTTTCCAAAGTAGTTATGCAATTTTACACTCCTCCCAGCGGTGTATAATAATTATAGTTGTTCTACATTCCTGCCAACAATTGGTCTTTACAGTCTTTTTAATGTTAGTCATTCTAGTGTATATGTAATGGTATCTCCTTATGGTTTGAATTTGCATCTGTAAAATGGAGATATAATTTCCTATATCATAGGGTTGTTGGGAAAACTGAGGCTCAACTGAGGTAAACCTACCCAAGTCAAGGTCCCACATGTGTTAGGGTTGATCTAGGATTTAAACCCAGGCCTCTCTATTCCTAAACAGCATGCTCTTTTCATTATAAACAATGTTCCTGTCAGTGCCCTGAGCAAGTTTTTGGCATTTTCATCTATGCTATATTATCATCACCCATGCTCCAGGCTGTGACATTAAAAAAAACGTATACATGATTCCCCATTGATCTCTCCAATGATACACACCCCCACCTCTCCCCAATCCCCATGGGTGGAAATAGGTGGGAAATAAGAAACAAATAGTCTTTAAGAAATGGATTGTGAGAGACCCCAGCCAAGCTTCCAGTTGCCAGATGGAGAGGTGCACCAGTGGCTCTTATTCTTTGTTGTACCCTTATATTTGTTTAACCAAGGAGTCTGAGAAGTCTTCCATGTTCAGTGTGTTTTAGAGTACAGGAGGAGCATGTCTTAAGAAAATCTGATATGAGAAACCCATGGTGACCCAAAATATAAATTAGGAAATAGGGATTCTGGAGGCAAAATTATTTCTCATTTCTAAACATGTTTATTTAATAGGTGATGTCTCAAGAAATGCAAGGTATTTGTTTATGGATTACATCCATTCAAAGAACAGATTAAACAAAGTGTTAGAACTGTATTAGTCTGTTTTCACACTGCTAATAAAGACATACCTGAGACTGGGTAATTTATAAAGCAAACAGGTTTAACAGACTCACAGTTTCACATAGCTGGGGAGGCCTCACAATCATGGTGGAAGGCAAAAGGTACGTTTTACATGATGGCAGGCAAGAGAGAGAATGAAAGCCAAGTGAAAGGGGAAACCCCTTGTAAAACAATCAGATCTCATGAGACTTATTCACTACCACAAAAAGAGTACAGAGGAAACTGCCCACATCATTCAATTAGCTCCCACTGAGTCCCTCCCACAACACATGGAATTATGGGAGCTACAATTCAAGATGAGATTTGGGTGGGGACACAGCCAAAACATATCATTCCACACCTGGCCCCTCCTCCCAAATCTCATGTCCTCACATTTCAAAACCAATCATCCCTTCCCAACAGTCCCCCAAAGTCTTAAGTCACTTCAGCATTAACTCAAAAGTTTACAGTCCAAAGTCTCATCTGAGACAAAGCAAGTCAAAACAAATCCCTTCTGCCTATGAGCCTGTAAAATCAAAAGCAAGTTAGTTACTTCCTAGACACAATGGTGGTACAGGCACTGGGTAAATACAGCTGTTCCAAATGGGAGAAATTGGCCAAAACAAAGGGCTACAGGTGCCCTGTAAGTTCAAAATCCAGTGGGGTGATCAAATCTTAAAGCCCCAAAATGATCTCCTTTGACTCTTTGTCTCACATCCAAGTCACACTGATGCAAGAGGTGGGTTCCCATGGTCTTGGGCAGCTCTGCTCCTCTGGATTTGCAGGATACAGCTCCCCACCCCAGTTACTTTCACAAGTTGGTGGTGAGTGCAGCAAGTGCACGGTGCAAGCTGTCAGTGGATCTACCATTATGGGGTCTGGAGGACACAGCTGTACTAGGCAGTACCCCAGTGGGGACTCTGTGTGGGGACTTAAACCCCACATTTCCCTTCCACATTACCCTAGCAAAGGTTCTCCATGAGGAGCCCCGCCCCTGCAGCAAACTTATGCCTGGACATCCAGGCATTTCCATACATTCTCAGAAATCTAGGCAGAGGTTTCCAAACCTCAATTCTTGACTTCTGTGCACCTGCAGGCTCAATGCCACATGGAAAGTACTACCCCCTTTAGAGGGGCTTGTACCTCTAAAGCCATGGCTCCAGCTGTAACTTGGCCCCTTTTAGCCTGAAGCAGCTGGGATGCAGGGCACAAAGTCCCTAGGCTGCACACAGCAGGAAGACCCTGGGCCTGGCCCATGAAACCATTTTTTCCTCCTACGCCTCCCAACTTGTGATGGGAGGGGCTGCTGCAAAGGTCTCTGACATGCTCTGGAGACATTTTCCCCATTGTTTTGGGGATTAGCATTTGGTTCCCATTACTTATGCAAATTTCTGCAGCAGGCTTGAATTTCTCCTCAGAAAATGGGTTTTTCTTTTCTATTGCATCTTCAGGATGCAAATTTTCTGAGCATTTATACTCTGTTTCCCTTTTAAAACAGAATGCTTTTAACAGCACCCAAGTCATCTCTTGAATGCCTTGCTGCTTAGACATTTCTTCCACCAGATACCCTAAATCATCTCCCTCAATTTCAAAGTTCCACATATCTCTAGGGCTGGGGCAAAATGCCACCAGTCTCTTCGCTAAAACATAGAAAGAGTCACCTTTACTCCAGTTCACAACAAATTCTTCATCTCCATCTGAGTCCACCTCAGCCTGGATTTCATTGTCCATATCATTATCACCATTTTGGTCAAAGCCCTTTTAACAAGTCTCTAGGAAGTTCCAAACTTTTCCCCATTTTCCTTTCTTCCTCTGAGCCCTCCAAACTGTTCCAAACTCTGCCTGTTACCCAGTTCTAAAGTCACTGGCTACGTTTACAGCAGCACAACACTCTCCTGGGACCAATTTACTCTATTAGTCCGTTTTCACACCACTGATAAAGACATACACAAGACTAGGTAATTTATAAAGAAAAACAGGTTTAATGGACTCACAGTTCCATGTGGCTGGGGAGGCCTCAAAATCATGGCAGAATGTGAGAAGCATGTCTTACACTGTGGCAGGCAAGAAGACAATGGGAGACAAATGAAAGGGGTTTCCCCTTATAAAACTGTCAGATCTCATGACACTTATTCACTACCATGAGAACAGTATGGAGGAAACTGGCCCCATGATTCAATTATCTCCCACTGGGTCCCTCCCACAACACGTGGGAATTATGGGAGCTACAGTTCAAGATGAGATTTGGGTGGGGACACAGCCAAACAATATCAAGAACACACCATCATGGTAAGATCCATGAGAAATACCGCAATATATCTAAAACCAAAAAGTCAATGAGATGGCAAGATTCTATTTATAAAAGTTTATTTTGTATAAAAAGACCAAACTAGACTTTTTGGCAATAAGCTATTAGAATCATATTTTTAAAAGTCTAGTGCAAAAATGGCAGGGATGAGTAATGTTCAAGGTGCTTAACTATCCTGAACTTCATTTTTTAA